TTTTGAAATAGTATTATAAGATCTATGTGTGTCTTGTCCTGCCAAATAAGGTTTATTTTAAAAATGAAAATGGAAGAGAATAAGACAAAGCTATAGAGGTTCGTGATATGAATTGGGAAATGCGTCTAATCTTTTCTTTTTAAGAAATATTCATAGTAGAAACAAGCTGTGCAGGCATAGATGTAACCATTTGTATTCTACTTCAGCAGGGTCTTCATGAAAGTAATGGGATTTTGAAAAATATTTAAAAAGCACAAATGTTCATGCTACAGGTTAGGTGAAATATTTCTTGCTTTGGTATAAAAAAAAAAAAGAAAAAAGTAAAAAAAAAAAAAAATCACACTTTCATTAGTGTATCCTTATGTTTAATAGGCAAATAGGCAATATAATTTCTATTAAAGCATGCCCCTCAAATGCTTTGGTGCCATTCTAATAACACAGAAATTGTATGATATCTGTATTGTTTATCTAAATTAACCCTTTGACACTGTTGGGTGTCCGAGCTTTTATTTCCTACTGCTGTTGGATTATCATTTCTTTCCTTTTTTATTTTCTCTCCAGTTTTATTGCTGTCGAACATATAGATAGCTACTGCGTGCTGATCTCCTCTAAAGCAGTATATTTCCTGAAGTGGGGAGATTACGTGGATCGAGAGGCCATTTTTCTGGAAATTAAGTATGATGATCTATACCACTGCTTAGTGTCAAAGGATCATGGGAGAATCTATGTGCAGCTTACTAAGAAAGCCGACACTAGCAGCAGTGGAGTAGCTTTTCCAGGCCCCTCTCAGCAGAAACCAATGGTAAGAGTTTCAGATGAAACTATTTAAGCAATATAAAAGTAATCTACTAAATTATAGGGAAGGAACATACATAAAGAGGGATTAGTATAAAGTAATTGTTTGCCTGTGAGGTGCATACCCCCAACATTGTTGTCGTGAGAAGTAAAACGCCGATAGGACGAGGTTAAGCAGTGTGGACCAGTGACGCAATCGTGTCACTGGCGTCTCCCAAAGGACACAGGCCTAGAAAGGGGGCTGGTCTGCCCAGACTACTGGCAGATCAGTCTGGCGTTAATGCATGCCAGGATGCCTGCCAATGAAGCAGGTCAGCCCACTGAAGGCAAGATTTGCATGGAGCACTGTTTCAGTGCTCTATGCAGGGACCTACATCCCTAAGTGGGACACCGCATAACTAATTTGGGATGGAGGGACAGGACGAAAGAGTAGTTTCTCACCAAAATAAAGACTGTTGGGGGCATGCAAGTACTGGCCCAGTCTGCTCTTTGAACTCTATGCCAGGCAATAATGTGGAGAGTTTAAGGGTCATTGTTAGAAGAGTAGTGTATGTTAATAGAATAGTATACACATTTAAGTGCATTAACATGATATTTTAATATGGAAGTGGATGGTTAAAAGCAAGAAGAACCTTATGGATATGAACGTTTGGTGAAACTAGACATTTCCCATACTTGATTTGACCCCCCTGGCACCAGGTATTAAAACTAAATGTCAGCAATGCAGTCTTAAAAAACATGTTATTGTACAATACCAGAAATCACAACCTTCTTTGAGTCACATATAGCTGGAGCAAATTTGCTCTAATTATATTTAGAATGCAGTGGATGTTTTAAATGTTTTATAAATTTAAAACAGATTTGTACATTTATAAAAATATGATGCATAAACATCTTGTTAGAAAATAAATTTCTTACCAACCTTCAAGTTTTTACTTCAAAGTACCAAACTGAACGTCCCAGAATAGACATATCACTAAGCTCTCTAATAGAAAAGAAAAACGTAATAAAGTAACACTCCCATGCTCGGAATAAAAACACGTATTCCTAACATTAGAGTGATGTATGGTCTATTTTAATCTCAGCTAATCTGCTATGTGCATGTGCCAATAAACATCTCCTCATAGATATGCATTGACTCTGAGTAAGCTCCTGAAAAGTCTGAAATGTGTTAGTCTTGGGTTTTTCTGTCCCAGTTTGCACTTGGTCTTTAACCCCTTAAGGATGGCGGCATACTATGTCGTCCTTGGGTACCCAGTCCTAAACACTGGTGGGCGGAATAGTACTTTCCACTTCCCTGATTGCTGGCGATCCCCTTCCGGCGATCGCGATGGGGGGACTTGCCTTGCATTTCAGTTTTTTCACATTAAAATTTGCCAGATTGGTTATGTTACCTTTGAGGCCTTATGGTAGCCCAAGTATTACCCTCATGATGGCATACCATTTACAAAAGTTGACAACCCAAGGTATTGCAAATAGGGCATGTCCAGTCTTTTTTAGTAGCCACATAGTCACAATCACAGTATGGCAAATTTCAATGTGTATAAACTGAAAAATTTAACATGCTATATTTGACCCTGTAATTTTACAAAACGCCATAAAACCTATTCATGGGGGGGTTCTGTTTTACTTGTGATACATTGCTGAATACAAATATGTGTACTTTATTGCAGTAACCGCTAACAGTATTATGACATTCCCAGTTAAAATGCCATGCAAAACTAAACAAAATTACAAAATATCTTAATTTCTCACATTTTTTTTTATATTTTATTCATATTAAATTATGTTTCATATAGAAATATTTAATATGAAATGAAAGCCCTGTTTCTTAATAAAATGATGATATAAGTAGTGTGGGTGCATTTACAGTATATACTCGAGTATAAGTCTAGTTTTTCAGCACATGTTTTGTGCTTAAAAACCCCTACTCGACTTATACTCGAGTCACTGTCTGTATTATGGCAAATTAGAGAGCTGCGGCCGTCAGAGCCATGGCAACGATCCGCGTGGCAACCAGACCGCGAGACTTACAGTGGAGCTGACCGGAACGGAGGAGACGGGAGCTGACAGGAGCTGCAGGAAAGGTAAGTAAATGCTTCCTGCTGGCTCCCCCACTTCACAGCCCATGCCACTGGACCACCAGGGATTAAGATAGCCCCCCTCCCTGACCAGTTAACAAGCAAAAAAAATAATAATATTAAAATTAAAAAAATTAAAATAATAAAAATGCCCTCCCCCCACCCAGTTCACACACACTACACAAACACACACTCTGCATTATATACACAGAGTGTGTGTATATAATGCAGAGTGTGTGTTTGTATGAGTGTGTGTATATAATGCAGAGTGTGTGTTTGTATGAGTGTGTGTGTGTGTATATAATAGAGTGTGTGTTTGTATGAGTGTGTGTATGTATATAATGCAGAATGTGTGTTTGTATGAGTGTGTGTGTATATAATTATAAAAATCACAGAATTTCATAGATTTACCCTCGACTTATCCACGAGGCATAGCATATTTCACAATTGTTGGTCACAAAACTGCACTCGACTTATACATGAGATCGACTTATACACGAGTATATACGGTAATATGAAAGAGGTGAATTCTGGTCAAGCAGACAAATAGCGCAAATTCAAAGTTTTGTTTCTGTTTTGTTTTGATCACAACTGCCTCAATCCTTAAGGGGATAATACCGTTCAGTTTTTCATTGGAGTGCTTGGTGATTTATAAATTTTTCTGCAGTTATTAGTCTGAGTATTCCTTAAGAAAGCTTCACACTTTATTTGTTGTGTAAATATAAATACATATCTTGGATGATATGTATTTGCTACCATTGCAGTGTGGAGCACTTTCCTAATCATCTAGTTGTCCTGAGATATCAAGATAATTAAAAAAAAATTACATATTTTTATTGGTATTGTGTTTATTTTACTTTCCCTTCTTAAGGTACATGTAAAATCTGAAGCACTGGCTGTGAAAATCTCTCAAGAAATTAATTATGCGAAAAGTCTTTACTACGAACAACAGCTGATGTTAAGGTTAACAGAAGACTCCGAGCACCTTGATGTGGATTCTTAAAACACTGAGCTGCGAGTAAGAATCTGCCCCCCATGTTCCTCAAACCCACACCACTAAACATACATGTTCTGCATAGTCCATATGTGGAATAAACAGAATGAATATAAATACACAACCTTATTAAAAGTAATACACTACTGCCTTTCAAGTATATTTGAAAATAAGGGGATACAATACTAATAATAATTTATATTATGGGTTATCAGTATTTAAAATGTGAGATATATTTATATATATATAATTATAAATATATACATTTAAATTGTACTCATTTTACAGAAATACCTTTATTTTGCTAATATGTAAATATGTACATCTTTGGCTTGATGTAAATATATATAAAAGAAGAAATGTTTTGTGTAAGATGTTGTGCTTGTTTACATTGTAATCATTACACTCTTGAATTCTAACCGCACCAAATCTATTCACCTCTGAAGCACACACTGCCCAGTGACCTTGGTGCAACTTCAACAATAACTTGGTTGGTTGTCAAAGCACATTACAAATATTATAATACAACTTGGAAATTCAACGGCTGTGGATACAGAGCTCCTCCGACATTTGCTTTTTGTGATTTTCTAGAAATTTATGAGCCCTTATGCAGTATCATTATATTTAAGGGTACGTATTGGAAAATTGGGGAAATTAAATCTTTTGTTTCTTGGAACCTGGAGGAAAAAAAGCAATGAATTTATAATTGTCCAAAATCCCTGAATAAAAATGTTTCTTGGAACTTGGAGAAAAAAAAGCAATGAATTTATAATTGTCCGATATCCCTGAATAAAACTGTTTATTAATGCTTTTGTCTTTGGCTACAAAAATTTTAACCTTTGTCTATATTTAAGCTCTTTTTTTATATATATTCTGTTTGTTGTGGAGGCAGTCATTTAATTGCAAGTATTTCCAGCATAGCATTACTTTGATCTTCAGCCACTGATTGAAGAACAGGATTAAAGTATGTGGCATGGATAATATAGAAGCAACACATTATTTAAAGAGTTACTCCATGCACCGTGATCACTTTGCTGATTTGAAGTTGTCATGCTTCTTGGAGTCTGTAAATGCAATGTTTCAGTTTACAATTTTGAATATACAAGCTACTTATCGTGCCCTCCTCCCTTCTGTCACCTACCTTATTTCAGCGCCGATGTTCCCCGGAGAGGAATTTAATGCACATGCGCGGCGATCACATTAGGACTTCCCCAATAGGAAAGCATTGCCAGGGACACTGCAGTGAGGTGAAGTGGTCTGGGTGCTTATAATAACACTCAACATACAGTGTAGAAACCGATGCTTATCAGTCTCACCTTGCCTGTAATCACACGTTCAGTGAACCAGAGAAAAAGACATGATCACACATTAAATTAATAGAAAAGGAGATTAAAGCAAATATAAAGCACATGACTCCCTCCCCACCCCCTTGCTCATAGAAGGAGATAATAGGCTACAGCTCTCTATTACCATTTCATCTGAAATGCTGCAACCATGAAATTCTTAAAGACGTCAAACAATCCTGGTTTATGCAAGAGATTTCTCCATGTTAAAAATAGCTGCGGCTGGTTTTCAGATATGTCCTACCTGTTTTTTCTGTTACCATCATTTTTCCTTTGCAACAGACATTGTGTCATTACTCTTAGCATAAAAGCATAGTGTAGTAAAATAAATTCACTTGTTTCTTTGACAAAACAATGGTAACAAGATTCTGTGTCCTTTTAAGTCTGATTACACGAATACTAGAAGATAAATCTAAAACTAATAATGGGGTGAAATAATATAAACATTATTGATTATTTAAAGTCAAATTGCTCTCCAGGTTGTAGATGACCTACATTTACCATTGGTAGATCAATATAATAAATCAAGTTGATACTTTTTACATGATAATAAAGATTATAAATTAAGACAGATCCGTCGATAAAGCTTTTCCTTAAATCACAATAATATGATTCTGTCTTATATAGGAGACAAATTAGCACATTACACCGTTTAATCCTTTCAGTACCAGAACATCTTTCAATTTAGTGATCAAGGAGGTCATGACAATTTTGAGTATTTTGTAACTCTGGACTTTGCCTCAAATTTCTCTGAAAGTGATCAGAAATGTTGCATGTTATAGGTGTGCCAAAAACCGGAAATGGAAATAAAATTAAAAATAATTTTTAGACAGATTATATGAACAACTCTTATAAAACCTACAATACATTTAATTATATAAATATGCCTTGAAACCAGAGAGGTCTTTTAGTTTGTTTAGGGCAAATGGGGTTGTCTTGCATACAGAACATCAGAAATAACTTGTTTCCTTATGTTTCTCTCAGAGCAATTTATTTATTTTTTTGGTAGGAAAAATGTGTTCTCTTTTTTTTTATATTGCTTTGGAGTCCATGATTCCCAGTTCATATATTGCTTTGGAGTCCATGATTGCCAGTTCACCATCAGTCATTTACTACTACCTGAGTGATTCCATATTATATTGAATAGATAGTGCCTAGCAAAATATCTGTCTCAGCAGAATTGAGAGAAAACCCACGGTTCACTGATAATGTATGCTGTTGCTAAAAGACCGGTATACGATGATGGTAGCAGCAATGAAAACCTATCAACCTACTTTTGTAAAGTGTTTTGTATGGCGTTTATGCATGTTGCGTCAATCTGACAATTAAAGTGATACTATAGGCATCAAAACAATTTTAGCTTAATGAAGCAGTTTTAGTGTATAGATCAGTAGAACTGCAGGGGCATCATCTATACACCAAAATTGCTTCATTAAGCTTGTAACGGACCGTTTTGCCCAAAAGAGGTTAAAAACCATTTAGGCGATATTCCCCTTTTTCAGCTGCACCGACAGCTACTGCACGCACCAATCTCCTGAACTGCAAACCCACGAATTCACCAACTCCCGAACTGCAACCAAGGGAATACTCGAAACTCCCGAAACTGGAGACACGAATAGCTGCTAGCAGACGAACAGGAAAAGCCCCCAAGCAGCTTACACTCCTGGCAATCAGTCTCTAACAGCATACAGTAAATCCTCCCCCAATAATGAGACGACACTTCACTTTGAGGAACTGATTTACTGGGGCTAACTGCCCGGCTTTTATGCAGGTCTCCCACCTGGTAGACACTCCCCTAGGGGACCAAATGGGAGACTGGGACACAAAGGATAAAAGGACCAATCACAGACTTACACATTTCAACCATCTCACAATGCATCACAATCCCTCCTCTCTGCCCTGGAGATAATTTGGGAAGTAATTCAATTATCTCCAAAGACAGAGGCAAAACTCCATTAACCACATGGCAGAAAACAAACAGTAAAATACATAAAATTACCTACAGTTACATTCAGTACATAAAACATATATGTTCTACATATCCCCAGATAGCTCAGGTCTGAGAGCACATTATTAAGCGAATGGCGCTCAGACCACACGAATACAGTTTAATCGCCATGGAGCCAAAGTCTTTACACAGTCAGTTTCATGCGAATGGGCTCCATGGGATTCCTATCTGGGGCACAACACACTCAAACAAAACTACCGAACACCGGGCCGTTCGTGCACTTTCACCGAACAAGAAGGGAGGTCGGCGGCTTCAGCGGTGTTCGCGCAAAACTGTGTCCGATTTCAGTTCCATGAATTAAGCGTCGAACACCGCTGTGCATTCGCATGTTTAAAATGGCCGCGACCTCGTGTTCGTGATACGAATGGCGGCCACCCAGCATTCGTCAATTAAGCTGCGGTTAACCGCAGCTTCAGGGAGGTTAATTGCCGGCACACTCCAGCTCCCAGGTGGTCTATTCATTCGTGCGGTTGTTCGGTAGATTGAATCTACCGAACACCCGGCAGAAAAGCACAAATAAGTCTTTTCTGCAGGGAAAAAAGATGTCTTTTAACATGGGGCCATAGTCCAAAGGCAGCAGGCGAGCAACCAGGCTTCTCCAGTGTACAGTGGCGAGGTTGGTTTCGCCACAAAGCTAAAATTGCTTTGGCATCAATACTATCCCTTTAATACACATAATGGTTTCTAAAAAGGAATTGTAATGGCATAAACATGATTGTCCCAATTTAGGATCAATAACCCATTGTGTTTCTTTCCCTTGTGTCCTTCTTCTGGGGATATTGTTGGAAGTCACCAAAACCTGTAGTGAGAGTGCAAACAAAATACAATTCGAGGGACATTTCTAGCCGTGCAAGATCACCTTCACAACTCTTTAAGCACTCTTAGTTTGCTACCGTTCCTACGTATTTTTAAAAACGCGTTCCTGTTCATATCCCTGGACCAGTGCCTCGTGAACCATATGTTCTCAGCCACTCCTGGATCACTGCAGACTCTCTTTTTGCATCCTCATGTTTTAAAGTTATATTCCTGCCCAAGCTTACTCTGTAGCCTATTTTGTATTGTACTGATTGCATACAAGGATACTGTCATGCATGTATGGTTAAAATGAAGAATAAAAGCCCTGCATACCATTACTAAAAAAATCAAATAAAAATTCCCCCTTGTTTGCCTTTTTCTGAGGTTGTTCCGTTGCAGAGGTAATTGTTACCATGCTCAGCTAACCTCAGCCTGCTGTGCTCTTCTACTGCTTTGCTTTGGAAAAAAAAAATATGCACCACATAAAGCAAGAGGTAAACAGTGCAATAGCATTTCTTTCCTTAGGAATACACGGGTCAGTGAAAGGACAGCAGTATGATTAAAAGATGTAATCTAATATTTTGCGCAGACAGAAAACAAAGTGTCCACAGAAAGCAGAGATCTTTGAATTCCTCCAGATGGTTTTGGCAAAGGATTGTTTCAAATATTTGTTTTTTATATATTTGTGTTCTCGAAGGTCAGCATAAGACACTGATTTCTGCCCAGCAGCTTAAGCTTGCCGGCTGTGGAGCCACCAGGAGAAAGCCAAGTGATTATGCATGTTTTAATTCAATTATCGTGTTCTCCTGTGTTGCTACATAGACCTTTAATTGAATCGCCCATAAGTCTATGTATCTGTACCAGTGTACATGTGTGACACAGATGTTGAGAGTAGAAAATACTCTAGTTAAGAGTTGCCTATTATAGATGCGTAATATTAGTGTTGAGTTCCTCTTCCTATTCATTGATGTTTTAGTTCTTCAAAAGACATACGTTCTGTGTATGAGACACACATTTTTTTTTTGTTTTATATAAAGACGAATGGCAATTATTTTAACTCCTAAACCTCAATAACCTTTCTGTATCTTCCTCTAACACTTGCAAGTTCTGTACAACTAGCTGTTTTTGTTTGTTTGACTTTTGCACTATCCTTTTTGAAGCCGGCCCATGATACGGTTATACTTGTCCCTGGTCGCTGTGAAGAACCACATAAGGTCATATACCATATTCTGTACCAAGGCCAATCCTAGGGTCACTGACGCCTGGGTGCAATATTTTTGGCACCCCCGAGTGGAAGTGGGTATATCCCTAAGTCCTTAACAAGCATACAACTTCTAACTACACTCATTTTCTATGGAAATCACTCCCAACTCTTTGGACCCCCAACCTTTAGCAGGTAACATGTCATCCACTTCCTACAGTGCCATTGTTTCCCCCAGAAAGCTTATTAGTGCCATCATTGTGCCCAGCTCTATCCCCATACAGCTATCCAATGCCATCTGTGTCCTAAAATAGCTAATAAGTGACATCGGTATGCCCAAATAGCTTATTTGTGCCAAAATAGCTTATCAGGGGAAGATCCAGTAGCTAATCTCAGTGGGGTGTCATGAAGGAGATAAGGTTGGAGTGGGGATTCTGGTCTTTTGTATATTCCAGGTGATAGGAGACGGTTTCAGCTGGATTTGCACACAGTCATGGAGGATATACAGGCAGCAGGAACGGATAGAGAACCTTTCTGAACGGCGGTTTCAGGCACTGTCAGGATGCCCAAGAAGTGAGGCACCAGGAGGCAGAAATCGTTCGGCAGCAGATGGAGCAGTTGGCTACCTTCAACCAGGCCTTCCTTGGTGTCCTTGGGCAGCTTGTTCAAGTGCTGGGAGGCAGTCGTGATCCCAGGTCACCGCCCAGGCAGTAGTGCCTTTCAGCCAGCACAGGACCTGTACACTTTTTTGTTTTTTTGTAGAAAAGGTTTATTTGTAAATATATTTTTTTACTTTGTACTTGTAAGTATATTTTGAAAGATCACTTTTTTTTGTTGAATAAAAAACAGGAGAGATTTTGTGTGTGTCTGACTAAATGTAAAACTTTAATAAAACGTTAATAAAATCAGGGTAAGAAATGAAATGTTGAGGTGCCGCATCAGAGCCTGACGTATTTCACTGCACTCTTCACTATCCTGTGTAATTACCCGCCCTGGCTCTTCTGCAGACATATTCCAATCCTGGTGGAAGTCTTCTCCATGTCTTTCACAAAGATTGTGAAGAGCACAGTAAGTAAGCACCATGGATTTGACAAGTGCAATGTCACTGTCATTCCTCTTCATAAGACAACACCACCTACCCTTAAAGCGGCACTGTCATGCCGAATTCTGTTTTTTTTTTAACCCCCCTCCCGCCTCCACTACATCCAATTGACTCACTAGTCACCCCCAAATGCCCCTAAGCCCCCCACATTACCTATTTTTAAATCTTTATTTTCTGCCCCGATCTATATTCAGGGCGCCGCCATCTTTGTGTGGGTAGGTGAAGTCCCTGTGGGACACGTCATCAGCCCACACTAGGCAGACACTGAGATTCCCGCACATGCCCAGTGAAACACCTGGACATGCGAACGGGAATTTCAGCTATTCATTCATTCATCAGACAGACGAATGAGTGAATAGAAAGATCAGCCGAACAAACAAACACTATGTATCAGTGTTAGTTTGTTCGTTCAGTTTATTACAAGGAGGGAGCTACCGGCATGCAGCTCCCTCCTTGTAATATGTAACTATAGAAGCGGCAGGGAGCAGTGCTCCCCACCACTTCATAAGCCCCCCCAGGTCCCCCTCTCACTCTATGGGGGTCAATATGACCCCCATAATAGCACAAGGGAGATAAAAATCTCCCAAATGCCCCTACTCACTATACCGCGAGTAGGGGCATGTCCACTAAACAGTGAGCAGCCTGTGGCTGCTCACTGTAAAAAAACAACAACAACAAAAAAACAACTATTGGCCCCCACCCCTAAACAGTGAGAATGAGGGGTACTCCCCACCCCCGGGGCGGTGGGGCCATAATGAGAATGGGGGGGGGACCTACTGCCGCCCCCCCCCCCGGCCCCCACCCCTGGGCGGCGGGTGGCGGCCATAAGGAGAATGGGGGGGGACCTACTGCCCCCCCCCGGCCCCCACCCCTGGGCGGCGGGTGGGGGCCATAGTGAGAATTAGGGGGGGGACCTACTGCCCCCCCCCGGCCCCCACCCCTGGGCGGCGGGTGGGGGCCATAATGAGAATGGGGGGGGGGGACCTACTGCCCCCCCCGGCCCCCACCCCTGGGCGGCGGGTGGGGGCCATAGTGAGAATTAGGGGGGGGGGACCTACTGCCCCCCCCGGCCCCCACCCCTGGGCGGCGGGTGGCGGCCATGAAGATAATGAGGGGGGGGGACCTACTGTCCTCCCCCCCCCGGCCCCCACCCCTGGGCGGCGGGTGGGGGTCATATTGAGAATGGGG